GTAGTACCAAGTAGGTCCAGTACTACTGTAGTACCAAGTAGGTCCAGTACTACTGTAGTACCAAGTAGGTCCAGTACTACTGTAGTACCAAGTAGGTCCAGTACTACTGTAGTACCAAGTAGGTCCAGTACTACTGTAGTACCAAGTAGGTCCAGTACTACTGTAGTACCAAGTAGGTCCAGTACTACTGTAGTACCAAGTAGGTCCAGTACTACTGTTGTACCAAGTAGGCCCAGTACTACTGTAGTACCAAGTAGGTCCAGTACTACTGTTGTACCAAGTAGGTCCAGTACTACTGTTGTACCATGTAGGTCCAGTACTACTGTTGTACCAAGTAGGTCCAGTACTACTAGTACCAAGTAGGTCCAGTACTAATGTAGTACCAAGTAGGTCCAGGACTACTGTAGTACCAAGTAGGTACAGTACTACTGTAGTACCATGCAGGTCCAGTACTACTGTTGTTCCATGTTGGTCCAGTACTACTGTAGTACAAAGTAGGTCCAGTACGACTGTTGTACCAAGTAGGTCAAGTACTACTGTAGTACCATGGAGGTCCAGTACTACTGTTGGACAAAGTAGGTCCAGTACTCCTGTTGTACAAAGAAGGTCCAGTACTACTGTTGTCCCATGTTGGTCCAGTACTACTGTAGTACCGAGTAGGTCCAGTACTACTGTTGTACCAAGTAGGTCCAGTACTACTGTTGTACCATGTTGGTCCAGTACTACTGTTGTACAAAGTAGGTCCAGTACTACTGTTGTACCATGTAGGTCCAGTACTGCTATAGTACAAAGTGCATTGTAGGTCCAGTACAACTGTTGTATTAAGTAGATCAAGACCGTGTCGAGACCCGTGATGTGATTGGCTGGAAATGCAGCCATTTTTCGCTAAACCAACCAACCAACACTGCATGTTTCGGCACGTGGGTGACGTCAACCTCATTAATATTCAAAAATGTGGCAGGCTGACTGCGAAAAACTTTGAAACTCTGAAAAGACGTGTGTTTTTGGAGGAAACGGAGTTCATGTCCGCTGAAGAAAAATACGTCTTACGTGCACACAGGCGGTTTTTAAAAGAAAATGTACCCATCTTTCTAATGTTCTAACGTTCTCGTAGATCAATTAGAAATGTTGTTTATGATGCAAGAAATTTAGATGTGGTCGACATTTCGATATCGAGAGCTTTCCTCACTTCTCCTATATATGATCATTGGAGTGTCATTTTTACCGAAAGTCCATATAAACCCCTAAAACATGTAAAATTACTCTGAAAAAGTGAGTTTTGGTCCAAATATAGCTGTAACAAATTCTCAGGTCCCTGTGAACTGTATATATACAGTACCAAGTAGGTCCGGTACTATTTTCGGAAACCGTTGGACATGTTTTTCTTACTTTTTGTACAACTGATTAATTCGAACAGGACTATATACTATGACTTAAACAATACATGTCTATATTAGTGCTTACTTACTATGTATTTCTAGTGATTTTCTTCTGGAAACCGACATTACAGGATTTATATCTCACCCAACAATATTTGTAACATACAAAAATAACAATTGCTGTGATTATGATTCAGATTTAGAATTAACCAAGGTTGAATTTAGTCCAAAACATGCCATAACATTTATCTTAATACATCATCAAAGCTTAAATTTAGCTCAAAGTACACAAAGGCAATAACAAACAAGATGTTGCCAAATTAAAATGAGGAAGTCATGCATTGTATTTTAATTGTCGTCTATTACCGCTTTTCTCTATACATTAGACCTAACGACATCAGTATATGGCTTCCTGTAACAGGTGGTAACGTCACAAATACACTTTTTATTTGGACGGATATTAATCATTCATATCTTTAAAAACATCAGTATGAGTAAAATATCGGTGGATTTTCCAAGATTTTAATTTATTTCCGGGTTTTCCCAATCAAACTAGCATATCAATTGACTATTCTTGGCTGAATAAAAGTACCTAGTAACTAGTACATAACTATTGATCTGCCACACAGCCAATACAGTATCTCTCCATAACACGCTTCCTTGTGTGTTTAATTTACTGTAAAATAAGGAACATCACCGAACTGATTCTCTGTACAATTACAGTGTTAATTGGTAACAAGACCATGAACCAGGCAAAATAGATAAAGCGTGACCTACGTACAGCCGTGCTGAAAACATGTCACAACTAGAACAGGGCCAGTAATGTCACAACTACAACAGGGCCAGTAATGTCACAACTACAACAGAGCCATTAATGTCACAACTACAACAGGGCCAGTAATGTCACAACTACAACAGGGCCAGTAATGTCACAACTACAACAGGGCCAGTAACGGCACAACTACATGTACAACAGGGCCAGTAATGTCACAACTATAACAGGGCCAGTAATGTCACAACTACAACAGGGCGAGTAATGTCACAACTACAACAGGGCCAGTAACGTCACAACTACAACAGTGCCAGTAATGTCACAACTACAACAGGGCCAGTAATGTCACAACTACATGTACAACAGGCCTAGGCCAGTAATGTCATAAATACAACAGGGCCAGTAACGTCACAACTACAAAAGGGCCAGTAACGTCACAACTACAACAGGGCCAGTAATGTCACAACTACAACAGCGCCACTAATGTCACAACTACAACAGGGCCAGTAATGTCACAACTACAACAGGGCCAGTAATGTCACAACTACAACAGGGCCAGTAACGTCACAACTACAACAGGGCCATTAACGTCACAACTACAACAAGGCCAGGAATATCACAACTACAACAGGGCCAGTAATGTCACAACTACAACAGGGCCAGTAAACAAAAACAAGGCAAGAAACATACATGTAACCTCAAGCCTGTTCAGTAAATAAATCGTTCAGGAAGTAAAGAAAAATGAAACTAAGACCGAGGCTAGTAACAAAACCTAGAACAATGCCAGTAATAAAACCTGTTATCAAGAAACCCACGTTGTCTGTAACGTTATCACTTAACATTTGTCCTAATTGTGACGTCATAATTTAACCACACTTGACATACAATAGAAACGTCATATTACACACAGGCTGACACGGAGGTTCTATGGTAACTAGGTTTGTGCTAATGAAATACTGACACAATTATGTGTATTTCTCGTCCTTATGTATCTCTTGTCTTGCTACGTTTAGTTTTCCTATGGCTGACAGAACGTTTGTTTACATGTGAGGTAATACATTCTTAGAATTCTCGGGCAAACGTTCATTCAGAAATTCCTAGGAATAGAGTGTATTTTCTCAATTAGCTTGGAATTGAGATTCTTCACAAGCCGTTAAGATCCTCCTTTCAACTTTTGTCTAATCACTGGGCATCCTCGGTATCTCTACCGCTCCTAATGATCCTTCCCTGTACAGTGGCTCAAAAGGTAGACAAAAATAAATCCCAGAGTGTAGATATAAGCTTTTGACTTCAAATAGCCACCTACATGTTACTCTTGGTTTTACACCCAGTTATGCATCTATATCCAATTAGTGTTATTAATAAAAGTTTATTGATCTATATATCCTAACAGCATTCATTAAACACTTATCTTACCTATCAGCATACTCTCGTTCGTATTGGACCATTCGAAGTTACTTATATTACATGTACAATGTAGTATAATATCATATCAATAAAATTCAACATCTATTGTAATGCAAGTCTGAAAATAAATGACCAGATATATCATCAGTTGAAATATAGATTAGCATTGAGTCAATAAAATAGTATAAAAAGTTCTACATATTTGAAGCTATTTTGAGGTAACATGGTAGCCACATCCTAATACATTTTATAACAGAAATAGTATTCTTGTAAGTATTTTGATACAAAACAAGAGGTCCAAGGGCCTTAGCGGTCACTTGATTTATATCATAGGTACTGGTAGCTTTATTTTTTTGTTTAGATGTGATGTGGAAATCAGCATGTAAACTAAGTGAAATACAATACTTGTCATGTCATCAAAGGATAAGAATGTTAAAATATTGGTAAATGTTCCCTTTGGGGCCCCGCTTTAGCCCCTCGGCAGGGATCCCAATTTTACAATGTAATACACTCATTCACCAAAGATGATTCCAACTAAGTTTGAGTAATTTTCTGCTGAAAATGGACAAAATATACCCAAAAGTGTTATTTCCCTATATAAACTTTAGTAAACTTTACCCCCTCCTCAAGGGAGAACGGACAGTTCGGGGGTCCTGAAATTTACAATTTAAGTAAAAAAAACCTGATGGTTTTTCTTTCCATGCAGAGAAAATGACAGTAGTACCTCTGAGTCTGGAGGAGAAGATTTTTGAAATATTGGTTAATTTTCCTTTTTGAGTCCCGCCCTGGTCCCATGGGTTGGGGTTGGAATCTCTATTTTACAATTTGAAACCATCTTCCTCCAATGATAATTCTCACAAAGTAAAAATAATTTCCTACAAAAAGTGTCAAAATATACCCAAAAGTGTTATTTCCCTATATAAACTATAGTAAATTTTACCCCCTCCCCAAGGTAGAACGGATAACTCGGGGGTCCTGAAATTTACAATTTAAGTGAAGCCCCTGATGATCTTTCTTTCCATGCAGAGAAAATGACTGTAGTACCTCTGAGTCTGGAGAAAAAAGGTTTTTGAAATATTGGTTATTTTTCCCTTTTGGGCCCTGCCCTGGCCCCAGGGGTAGGGGTAGGAATCCCAATTTTACAATTTTGTAGCCTCATCTACCAAGGATGATTCTGAAGAAGTTGAAAATGTAAAACGTTTACGCACGAAGGACGACGGACGACCGTCGCCGACGGACGGAAAGCGATTAGAATAGGACACTCAAGCAAAGCTCGAGTGACCTAACCAACGGTGGAATCGTTACCTAAAGGAACTCTAAAAATTGTATCGCGAATCGAATCGAACTCAAGCAATCGCGGTACAACTGTATTGCGATATACCGTGACGCCTCTGACTCTAAAATCAACACCTTAAACATAGAAACATGTGTCAACCCATCAGATAGTGAAACACGTGTCAACCAATCAGATAGTGAAACATGTGTTGGCCCATCAGATAGTGAAACACGTGTCAACCCATCATATAGTGAAACACGTGTCAACCAATCAGATAGTCAAACACGTGTCAACCCATCAGATAGTGAAACCCGTGTCAACCAATCAGATAGTCAAACACGTGGCAACCCATCAGATAGTGAAACACGTGTCAACCAATCAGATAGTGAAACACGTGTCAACCCACCAGATAGTGAAACACGTGTCAACCCATCATATAGTGAAACACGTGTCAACCAATCAGATAGTCAAACACGTGGCAACCCATCAGATAGTGAAACACGTGTCAACCAATCAGATAGTGAAACAAGTGTCAACCAATCAGATAACGAAACACGTGTCAACTCATCAGAAAGTGAAACACATGTCAACCCATCAGATAGTGAAACACGTGTCAACCCACCAGATAGTGAAACACGTGTCAACCCATCAGATAGTGAAACACGTGTCAACCAATCAGATAGTCAAACCCGTGTCAACCCATCAGATAGTCAAACACGTGTCAACCCATCATATAGTGAAACACGTGTCAACCAATCAGATAGTGAAACAAGTGTCAACCAATCAGATAACGAAACACGTGTCAACTCATCAGATAGTGAAACACGTGTCAACCCATCAGACAGTGAAACACGTGTCAACTCACCAGGTAGTGAAACACGTGTCAACCCATCATATAGTCAAACACGTGTCAACCAATCAGATAGTCAAACACGTGTCAACCAATCAGATAGTGAAACACGTGTCAACCCATCAGATAGTGAAACACGTGTCAACCCATCAGATAGTGAAACACGTGTCAACCCATCAGATAGTGAAACACGTGTCAACCTATCGAATAGTGAAACACGTGCCAACCCATGAGATAGTGAAACAAGTGTCAACCAATCAGATAACGAAACACGTGTCAGCTCATCAGATAGTGAAACACGTGTCAACCCATCAGTCAGTGAAACACGTGTCAACCCATCAGATAGTGAAACATGTCTCAACCCATCATATAGTGAAACACGTGACAACCAATTAGATAGTGAAAACGTGTCAACCCACCAGATAGTGAAACACGTGTCAACCCATTAGAAAGTCATAGACGTGTCATCCAAATTAGAAAGTAAAACACGTGTCAACCCATCAGATAGGGAAAAATGTATAAACCCCATTAGAAAGTCATACACTCGTCAACCCATTAGATAGTCATACACATGTCCACCCATTAGATTTTCTTGCACATGTCAACCCATTAAAAAGTCCGTTTTTTCCCCTTATTGAAATGGAAAGAGTAAACTATTTGTAAAGTGAATGTCCTGTTCAATGATAGCCTAATTTCCTAACACACTTTTCACAATATCATCTCAATAACTGATTATTGACCAGGAGCAGTATCGTATATTTTGTAGCCCATTTTAAAAGTAATCAGAACTTCCTTCTATTATTTAAGTCAATGAGTTTCCTTCAGCGGACACCAGTTCCCTGCTTTATCTTGATCGTCAACAGTCCCACTGATCGTCAACAGTCCCACTGATCGTCAACAGTCCCACTGATCGTCAAC